TCATCTTACCTGTCATTAATTGATCCAAAAAGAAGAAAAGATAGAAATAAACTATATAATACTCATCTTAACTTTGACTCAGCTTCTTTTTACGTAGGTCCATTTTTTGCTCTTGCTCGTCTTTGTAATACTATGTATCCTTCCGGCCAAAAATCGTGTCACATGATATTTTCAATATATCATCACTATCAATAAACATTTTGACAAAAGTAATTATATATTCTGATAGCCTGTGGAATTCTCTACAGCTCTATACATATGCGCTTCAAGCTGAACTTGCTCACTAAAAATAAATTAAAGTACAATGAAGGCACCCTNCCTCTCATTTCAATTGTTTTTGGTTTATTCATCTTTTATATTGTAATGTATTTTTTTCCATATTGTGAAAATTTCTTTTATCCATCTTCTATCATTTGTGTATATCCATGTATGTACAATAGCTATTCAATTTCAATGTCGGATTTCATAGTTAATCAAATAGTGCCCATTGTAACAATTATTGTGTTTAGTATTGCTTTACTTCTACGTGTTGCGCGACAAAAATATCGTATACACTCTACAATCCAATGGCGAAAGCATCGAAGAATTATCGTTCAAACACTATCAATTTCATTTTTGTATACCATCATTCAAGTACCTTACGTAGTTATTTATATTCTAGGTAGTATATATAATTTGTCAAGTTCTTTGATTAGTGATCTATCTGGAGTTACAGTTTTCTTCAGTTACTTCATTCTGCTTATTTTCCCTTTTGTTTGTGCTTTTTCGTTGCCGCGATCGCAAACCAGAAAAGCAAATATCTTTCATCTACGACGACGATTAAGACAAGTTGGTCCGGCAGTATTCACTGTCACAGCCCATGCGTAAAATCGCATGCATAATCTTTAGAGACTATTTATTCATGTTTATTGTTGTTTCGTGATGTTGTAATAAAAATATTAAGAAAAGTTATTCCCTCGACTGAAGGGAGGACCATACGAAATAAACTGCGTTTGTTTGCTTGCTTGCTTGGCTGATTGGGGTCAAAAAACATATATGAGAGATTAGCTTATTTTAAGACTTTTGGTCGTTTTGAGTGAACTTTGTCATAGGAACGAGATGTTTGTTTTGGATGTGGCATTACTTTTACCAAAAACACTGCAATAGAGAGGTTGGCTGAAGATTGAATGTACAGTTAAGTATGTTGAATATGTTAAGCGCTACGTGTCTGAATATACGACAAGTAAGAAGTGTATTTTCGGGTATAATGAAAGGAATAACGTTCTCTAACTTAGGCATATTGAGTACAATCGTGAGACAAAGAAGGCATGGGTACTTTCCTGTATTTCTTAGAATAGATCTGCGAGAACTGAATCGAAAGCAATTTTCCAGTCTATAGTGAAAACACATACAAGAGTTATTTTTATATCGAGTTGATGATTTCTTATGTAATTACAGAGATAATTGATAGTGTAGTTAACAAAAACATTGGTGTATTATGACTCAGTGTCGAATCTTCTTTATATACCGTCCCACATACTTTTCTAATTGAGTTAAGTAGTTGTTCCGAATATTTTACAATTCCGCCTTTAGCATCGCAAGTTACATATTGAATGAGTACGATAATGGAAATGGATGAAATTTTTACCAAAGTTGACTAGTTTTATGAGTTGCCCAATATCCGTGTCTCTCATGATCGGTTCGCTTTATTGCTTCTCTCGTTCTCTATAAAAGGAGGGAGAGAATTGTAATATATCGCAGTTTATATCAGAATACACTTTTGTCGTTATGTAAATGAGTTTAAAAAGGGGAAAACTTAAAAATCGCAGTTGGTAGGGTGTGGGTGTCATGCTATGTATAATAAAAGCTAACTGACGGCAACCCACACCCGCACCCTCACTACAGTATTTTTATTATGGATACTGCATGATGATAAATGAATTTATTTTATATTGAGCGAAATGTGAGACATTGCAAAAAATATCAGAGAATATTGCAATAGATTCTATGATCAGCACCAATATATAAGACAAATAAGAGAATATTTTGATTATTACAGAAAGAAAAATCAGTAAAAGGATTCAGTACATCTACTTGACTTATAATCTGTAGATGCCATATCGTCAGTTTATCAATTTTGTTCTGACCACAATTCAGTCAAATCCATACAAGCAAAATGATTATTGAACACCTACATCGACATCGAAAGTTGATTCACTGGGCCCTAGACTGACAGTGTTCAACAGGAGAAATGCATAGACAGGATAGAAAATGGGTTGTTTGTGCGAGGAGTGGGTTCTGAAATTTCCAAAGAGAACAGCGGATAAGTTGAAGGAAGACGCGTAAAGGGGGTGGCAATAAGTGAAGCTGGGTACGAATTAAACGAAAATGATAAAATTCCGAGTAAAATGACTAAAAGAAAAACATGCAATCGGAACCGAAAGACGACCAAGGGGAGGGGGTGTCTCCATAGAGAATAAAATACGTGTTTGAAAATTCACGTCATGATGCAGGGAACTCACAGATCCTTCAGACGGGGGCAGAGGTTGAGCCTTACCTAGTCACAAAAATACACGTTTCAGAAATTTCGCGTGATTTGCCCTGCATCTGCCTATTGTTTGTGGCTTAGCAATGGCCACTTGTGCCATAAAAATGGTCATTTGGTCCAATGTTACAGACAGTCATACACAGGTGAATTACGGTTTCTAGACCCTATCCTTTCAGTCTAGAGAACAAGATAAATCAAATCTTCGAGACAATCGTAAGAGAAATTCCAGAATATATTAATTGAAATCCAACACCTGGAATGTTTATTTTATGTACAAAGTATGAGAGAAATGATGATCTGAAATAGACTGAAAATACTAACAAAAAGTTCACATAAAAAAAAGAATTAAAAAAATAACATCATTACTTTATAAATGCAAAGCCTTTATTTATCTTTATTTTTTAAATATAAATAAAATATTTATCTTTATTTTACAAATATAAACATTTTATTTATGTTTACGCTTTACTATAAAGATCAATAAATATAAATGAACGCCCCTAACTATTATCGATTAGAGCTAACCGTCTTTTTTCACAATCGAAGCTCATTTTTGTCTTTTTCATATAACTTGTATATATCATATTTTCCACGAAAAAAAATTCACTGAAATCTGTGTTTGAACGCGTTGTATATTTTGTTCACATGTTTTTGGTAGACTTCAAACGCAGTTTTTCCAACGCGTTCAAATGCTTTCTTTTCAGTGGATAACGCAAAAATGTGATAACGACAGCTCTATGAAAAGTGCGTTTTTCGTCTACCGAAACGCGATTTCTTTGAATGCGTTTTTACTATTGAATATATTTATTCATCCTGATGTAGAACAGATTCGAACTAGGGACTCTGAAATTCACTTACCTAATGCTATTGAGGCAAATTTACTGTTACCAATATAGAGATGAAATGACTCTATATATTGAATTGAAGGATACATTTTGAATTTATTCAATTTAAATTTAAGGTAAATTTTAATTGCGAGAATTGACCTTTTAAATAATTTAAAATAGTTTCACACAAAAAATTTTACATTATTTAAAAAAGTTATTTTTTGATCCATTTTTAGGGCCTAATCATTGTTTTACAATATGAATGACTCAATCCTAGTATTTTCACAATATTAATTATGATTTTTTCAGCGATTTTTGCCGTAGCTTCTCAAACAAAGGTGCAGAATCTACCCGTGTGCGCGTACGGCCGTGTGGGAAAAATTTTGCAAACCTAAGCATCAGGGGAAATTTTTGGAAAAATATTTTCTCTTCTAAGCGTGCAGGGGCAAGTATTTTTCCAAACGAATCTTGTTTTATTTATATGTGCATCGATCATATCATGCATCTTTCTTCTTTTATTTTATGTAAATTTTGAAAGAATCATCCATTTCTTACTCACGGTTTCAGTATATTCTTCTTTGTTTGACGCTGATGATGCGTCGCACTACTGTTTATCTTTCGCTCTTTCTTGGGCGTAACTATGATGCAAAAACGGCTATTTGTTTTCTCCTCTTTTCGTTTTGTTTTTCCCTAACCGAATGCCACTAGTTGTTGTCTTTTCTCTATAGCTACATATCGTTGTAATTGTGTACTTCCATACATATACAAGCGCTATGATAACTAATGTACAATCATAGAACAAATGACGCATAATATGATCCTTATCACTCGCAAATCTTTTCTTTTCACTCATTTTTGTTTCGCTTCCTCTTAGTTTTTAGAATATTTAGCATATCTGAATAATAGAAATGTATTCTAGTAAATAGCAGGTATCATGTTTTTATTGTGGATGAGTTGGACGAAAAGATAACGTAAACGTACATTAGAAAAAAAAACGCCATAAGGAAATATTTAAATTAACGATTCCTAAAAATAACTTAACTAGATATCATTGTGATAAAGAAACAACTGAAAGTAGCAGAACAATTACCAGTGGTGATTATGAAGATGCTAATAAATTTGAAAAATAACAGTAAGAAAATGTCATTCTATAATCTCCTGGCTTAGCAAAACCCATAAATCAGCACTGCCACTTCACCTTCAATATTAACGTAGAAAACAACAACAGAGAATCATCATCATCATCATATATATAATGCGTTATTAAGCGTTCGAGAGCACAAAAGCAGTATTTTCTAAGAGTAAAAATGTTCCATACAATTCTTGAATGGCTTTTATTTTTAGAAACATCATTCTTACCCTTCATTACGAAGAACATTCTGATTGGATTAATATTTTATTCTATTCAATTAAGTCGAAATTTGAGGTGCTATTTTTACATTTACATCTACCCAATTTTTCAATTGTCTTATAATGCGGTGCAATTATATCGTTGTTATTTTTGGAACCAAGAGTATTTTTTAATGATTGGAATATATGAATATTCATCATTATTTGAAATTGATTATGTTCTAGGGACGAATCTCTATGTATATAAATATAGTGAGCTTGTCATAAAGAACGTTATAAATAAATTTCAGGCTAAAATGCTGCCTATTTTCGCTGTCGTAGCTGTGCTTCTATTAACGTTTGATTCACTTCATGGTCAAGTCGAGATTGTTCAAGCAGATCCTGTTAAAAATGTTAAGTTTCCACCAGGTCAGGCTTTTGTATTCTAATTTCTATTGTATTATGAACAATTTATATGCTTTTAGCACCCAAGGGTCTAACGTTTGGCAAAGAAATTCATTTGTCAACATTTGGTATCGATCGTGTTGGATGTAGCGGCTTGCCCGGTCCAAGTGGAACGACTTGTAATCCCTATACAGGAGATACTCTCTGTAGTTCATTGCGTCCGGTACTTTGTGCCAAAGTGGATAATTCACCTCGCCCTCCCTATTTAGTACTCGGTCCTGGTGCTGCGATGCCTGCCTATTTCTATGCTGGTTGGAACCTTGGACATATCTCTACTACTTTACCAGTACAAGGTTCTCAATTTGCGAATCTAGCCGCTGTTAATGCATTTTGTACTATGTATTTTGGGTAGGATTTTTCATTCAATCGATCGATAGATGTATTCATTTATTTATTTTTTCAAAGATCTGGCTGGATTGCTGCTACTTTTCATCATGGAAAACACATTGCAGGCATGAATGGAACGACATATTCTGGAAGCAGCTGGACACTAAACGCTGCACTGATCCAAACTGGTGGTTGGCATTATTATTCGTATGGTGATGTTCGAAATGATACACGCTTTTGGATACACATTCAAGATCAGCCAGCCAATTGCTGGCAACCGTAAACTAAAACTGTATTATCTATTTATAAAATTTGCCATTTTCATTATCTGAAATTATGCACTATTTTATTCGGATAATAAATGAATTTGTCTTTAGAATGAATCGGAAAATATCGAAAACATCACCATCACTGCTACATTCACATTTTCAGTCCTCAATTTTGTTTTCGACATTTTCCCACCATACCTTTCTTTACGATTGGTTTCAAACGCAGAATTAGTAGCAAGTATATGACGATGAACCATTCGAATTTCAAACGAAACACAAGATATATTGACTGATATTTTGTGCTGACAGATCTTTGTGTAAGATTCATTCAGAGCACATAAAGTAAAACAAGCTCACTTCAATTTATCAGGCTTATCTACTCGAGGTTATGGGTTATTATACACTCTGCAAACACAAAAGTGATGCTAAAAATTCGTAAGAGAGGAAGTTCAGATTTTGACTTTTATTTTGATACAACGACCAATAAAATATGCTTATAATATACTGACGGTTTGTGTGCATATTGGTGTCAGAAGGAATCTAATTGTTAACAAATCATTGTAGCTGTCCTGTTATTGATTGAGACTAACAATCTCAAATCAAATCATACCGAAATATCAAAGTCAACAAGCTATTCGCTCAGAACAGTTTCAAATAATTGAATGTCAAAAACAATATTCAACCTGAGTAACACATGAATATTAACGATGAAGAAAACAAAATGAAATATCACTATGCTGTATATGTTATTAAATTGGATATGCATATCGTCTTCCATTAAACATCGTAGTTTCGATAGGAGAATTCAAAACTATTTTAAAAATTTGTCTTTGGAAAATATGTGTATTGATACATAGTTATCCTAGCGATCAATCTAACTGTGCAGATCGTTTGTGAGGATATTCCTCTTTTGACGTTTCCTCTTCGGAATAGATTTGTTATTAAACACATTCTCATTCAAAAGAAAGAAGACACCCATAGAATATAGATAGGCGTTCGACCATTTATTTAATTTATTGTGACCTTGTAAAAGTCTCAGCTTTCCTAATAAACGTCAGTTCGAAATATTCACAAGAATAATTCAAGCTAAAATAAAATATGAATTTCAACTAATTGTTATTCAGCTGTGGTTCTTCGTTGAGACTAGTAATGGTTTATATCGATTCATTTGAATTTCAATTGTCTTTTTCTTTATCCAATAATGACCTACATGATCACCAGAGACTACTTGTATGGCCTCCGATATGCCATGCCAATCACGAAAATCGTGTATAGCACGATGACATTCTGGGATGTTGTAATCATCAACAATAATAACACCTCCGATCTGTACCTTTGCATATAAATTAAATAATTGATCCATTGTTGATTCGTACATATCACCATCCATGCGAAGAACCGCTATTTGAGAAACATTGCAATGAGGAAGAGAATCAACAAAATATCCTTTGCAAAAATGAACTTGATTATCAAGTAAATTAAACGAACGAAAATTTGTTTGAACTTCATCAAGTGAAACCTAGTGATCAAATAGAAGTTAGCTATTTTTCAAGGTCAAAATTTTTACTTTTAAGTATTCTTGTGTAGACCACGCATCGGAATCATGCGACGTTCTTGCTTTTGGTAGACCTTGAAATGAGTCAGCTACCCAAACATGTCTATCTTTAATATTCAATGCTTTGAGTATGGCACGAGCAAATATTGAACTTCCACCTCTCCAAACACCACATTCAATAAAATCGCCTGGCACTCCATTGATAATAACAAATCGTAATGTCCATTCTATATTATTCAATCGATGAAATCCAACCATTGTAATGCCAAATCGTGGCCAATCTAAGCCGTTCATTCGTTTGTCGATATTCAACGGACGTATGTTTTTGAGATTATTTTCTACTGACTGTTCTTGAGTGCGAAGAGATAAACCACAGACAGTATCACGTACGACGTCCAAATAGGCACGAACAAGAGGAGATTCTTCAGGAAATGTAGCATTATTTTTAACAATATCAGTTATACTATTGATATTTCGATATGTATTATATGATTCATATGATTGCGTTTTTCGGATACACGAGCTCAATGAGAAGATATAGGAGGATTGTTTGAAAATAATGAATATTAACACTAATGAGATTAACGAAATAATTATAATACCACGTGTGGGTATCGAAGGCATCGCGAAATATTACTTATCTAACGTAATAAAAAAAGACTTATTCTTTAGAAATAGAAAGGGCGCTTAAACCAAACCAGATTTGTAGCATAGAAATGTGCCTTTTTTAACCTTAGAAATAACACACTTCTGTTTTATGAATAAAGAACACTTTTGAAGCAGGTGAACTCGATAAAATGTCTTCTACTAACAAAAAAACGCTTTTCTCAGCACAGAGAAAGAGAACATTTTTACCGATGTGAATGAGTAAACATTTCACTGGTAGTGTTCTGCTTCGTACCAGCAAGAGAAAATAAATCATCATAAAACGTATGCCTACTGTTCTCGTTCTTTTTTCTATCGTTTAACTTTACTTCAGAATAAATGAGAGAGAACGACAATCTCCCATCTATTGAAGAGTATAATTCTCTTTTTACCAAGGTTATATATTGTATGTACATACATGCATCACTATATTATTAGTAAATTCAAAGTCATATTAATGCAAAAACATAAAGGATACCGCCGGATAAGGAGCCAGATCTGCCACCCCCCCCCCAAGATTTCGATATCAATACTCTAGAAAGATAGAGCGTAAAATTCTGCACATGTATATG